GCCTATTTGCACTTTATCTTACTGTCAGCTGCAAAGCTCAATAGTGTCTGACTGACGTAGGGATCTAGGCATCCACTGACACCCAGGTTTGTAGTTTGTAACTGCTGCTGCTCTCAGTCTGCTAGCTTTTAAAATGGTGATTATTTACTGCACATATAGCTATTTACCTCTCTAGCATTTTGGACTTCATCTCAGCCGTCATGAGGCCTCCCCACAGCCTGCTCTGCTCTGGGTTGAGCACACCCAGGAACCCCAGCCGCTCCTCACACACCTTGCCCTCCAGACATTTCTCCATCTTTGTAACCCTCCTTCAAATAACTTGCATTAGTTTTATATCTTTCTTATACTGTGAGTCCCAGTCTCCAGCCCCAAAGTGCCAACAGATGCTACCTGCACAAAGCTCTTCAGTGTGCACAGCACAGCAGTGCTCTGGCAGTGCTGGAGCTGCAGCCACATGGTAAGCTACCCCAAAAAAGTTAATGAGAACAAAAACATTAACAAGATATTAAACAGGCCACTTGGAAGATATGGAAAGAAAAAGGAATGGACTGGAGAAAACAAAGAGACAGTCAGAAGTAATCTCCTTAGTATTTCAGTAATTATGACAACTGTCTCTTCTCCTTTAAGAGACCTACTGAAAATTATAGTGGTGTCATAGATCCCTGGAAGCAAAATACAGCATAAAAAGCTCCTAGAAAAAAAAAAAATACACCATAAAAACCTTTGTGTTTCATAAAAAATACATTATTTTTATTTAATCACAACAAAATACTGCGAGATCATTATCGCAGAAAACTTGATAATTGCTTTAACATTTTAGGTAGGAGAACATTAGAGATAGGTTAAGAACTGTTTGCTTCCCTATCAATCCTGCTCTCTAAAACTTCCTTTGTAACAGCCCATGATTAATGGCCAGAGACTTTTTTTCCTCTCCTGGGCTGTGTGACTGCTTATGACCTTGGAGAGGCAGATCTCACATGAGCAGGAGAAAACACATCCTGGGTAAAGCAATGCTGAGCTGTGAGAGAGCTGCTGGGTGTTTCCTAAGGTATGAAGCTGCCCGGCTTCCCCTGGCCAGGGCGGCAGAGCTGAGCTGACGGCTTATGTGCCATGCAGCAATGCTGAAGCAGTGCAGACCTGATGAGGCCTGAGCCGAGGGCTGCACTTCCTCCATGGCCTCCCAGGAACAGCCTCCAGCCACAGGAATGTGCTGGAGCTGTCTAAGCTTGGGAACTGAGTGCTAGTCCTTCACATCCTGATCAGCGTTTCACTCTCAGCACATGCAGTCATGCCAGTGATTCAGGCTCATTCTTCCATCTCTTGTTGGCAGCAGCACAAAGAACAGATTTTTTTTTTCCTGTAGGTTTCATGATTTTGAAGGAGGCTATTACACCTACCCCTGCTCCCTGCATTGTCACCCTGCAGAAAAAAAAACAGACCCTCTCATCCTAAATAAGGTGGGCAATGGCCAAGGGCCTCACTGGCATCTCCAGCCCTCACGGAGACACTGGGAGCTGAGTTGTGCAGCAAAGCAGCTTGTGCATGGGAGGAACAGGGGAAAGGACACATGCTGGGAACTCCTGATTCTGGTAGGGGGACACAGGATTAGTGTCCCACATCAAAAATGCAGAAACAACAGCCTGTGACGTGAGAAACTATATGAGGCCTTAAGCAGTTGCTTGTCTTAAAAGTCAGCATTTGATGTCTACTGGATTGTAAGAAGATTACAGTCAACTCTAAAAAAAATGTGGAAAAAGGAAAAGGGGGGTGGAACTAAAGAAAAGGAAAGGGGAATAAAGGGAGAGGAGAGGAGAGGAGAGGAGAGGAGAGGAGAGGAGAGGAGAGGGAAAAAAAAAAAAAAAAGAACATTAATGCATTTGGTGGAGTTTCCTGACACTCTCTGGCTTACATTCAGTAACTGATTCTAGCAATGATAGAGAAAAATCTGTCTTTCCTCCTTCTTTTTCTCCCACCTATCCTCTCTGTCAAGCCTCCTGTTTGACACTGAGTAGTATTTTTGTGTTTGTAAAATATCAGCCCCAAATCTGGTTTCATCTCCTTGGAGCATTTTGCCTTTCTGGGGAGGCTTCTAGGATATAGCACAGGAAGAGGCTGTTGACACCACTATACTTGTGACAACTGCCTCAAAAGTTCCATGGAAAGGCAAAGAGCTGTGAGTTATCAGCCCTCCTGCTCAGTTGTAGAGGGGGATTTTATCTGATAGATTTGGAAATTAGAGTTTAGTTTTGGCAGGGGACTAAGTATGAATGTAATTCACTGCTTTGGACATGCACAGGGCAGATTATCGTCCAGTTCAAGGTGTAACATGCAAACAATGTGCTCTGGATTGTACAAAGAACTCATACTGTAGCAGTACTTTGGGCAACATCTACTAGCAGACACCTGGAGAACTGTCTGGTATGAGATGTCCATATGAGTGGAATACACTGGAATACACTGCAATAGGTTTCCCAGAGATGTGGATGCCCCATCTCTAGAGGAGATCAGGGCCAGGTTGGATGGGGCTTTGGGCAACCCAGTCTAGTGGGAGGTGTCCCTGCCCATGGCAGTAGGGTCAGAAGTGCGGATCTTTAAGATCCTTTCCAACCCAAACCATTCTGTGATTCTGTGGTCTGACTGACAATGCAAGACCTCAAGGACAGTCATCAGGGAGACTGGACCTCCCCTGACTATTATCAGGTCAATTTTCTGTAAACACGCAGCTTCCTGTCTAGTCTTTAATCCACTGTCCCACATAGTTCCGTGCCCTTAGCTCAAATTGATGGGAAAATAGCAAAATTGTGGGAAAAACCTCAGGAAATTTGTAGAGGAGAGCCAAGCAAGATAAGATGAAGCTACGGACACAGGTTGAAATAACATCAGTAGCAATTTGAACATTTGTAGGGGAAGGAAAAATATCAACATGGAAAGATTAAGAACCCCAAAACAACAACAGCAACAACAATTAAAAAATATATACCATTGGGAAACAGCAGCTTATCACTACCTAAGAGCTCCAGGGAGCCCTGGAGGATGACCCTTCCTCTCCTGGCTAGCAGACTCCTTGATATAACAAGGATCCTGTTGCACAATCTGAGCCCAGTATTTATTAAATCTAAAACATCATTTGTCTTAATAAATAATGATTAAATATTTTGCTTAAGTTTGTTTGTTTGCAGCATCGTATGTGCACAGTTAAATTTGCTCAAAATGGCTCAGAGATAATGCAGGGCACCCTACTCAATGACGTGAAGTCGATTTTGTATCCTACCATGCCTTCACAGGTGCCCAACTGGAGCAGAGTCTGCTGTTCACCTTGGGTTCATATCTGCAACTTTGCCCTGTGAGCTTCTCCAGCAGTTTTTAGGATACTACAAAGCATTAGCCAGTCTGTCTCCAAAGTGTATAAGGAAGACATCTTCATCCATTGATGTCCTGGCAGGGCCTCAGTTGTTGGAACCCATCACTAGTATTAGACACTGAGAGGCTCTCTGCTGTACCCTTTATTTAACCTTTGATATTTGGCCCTTTGGCCCTAGAATTACTGGCTTCATGACACAGTGGACATAGCAGGTCCCAGTGCATGTCCCTCAGGCAGCTCAGGAAAGTGCATGGCACCCATTTCTCAGTGGCCTTGTAGGTACCTGCTGGTTCTTCAGCTCACCTCTTCCATGGTTATATTTCCACCAGGCTCCACAGAGCCAGGAGATCAGACATCAGTGCATCAGGAACAAACTTGATAAAAACTTGATAAAACTTGATAAAACAGCTTGCAATGACCAGTAGGGGTATTTCCAACACAGTTTACCTGACAACAGCTTCAGTCACCTTCCCACTAACAAATATTTGATTTTTACCCCTCTGCTTTCATTCCCCCCTCAAATATTTTCCTCTTCCTCTGTACACACACTGTTCCCTCTTGTCTTAAGGTGACTCCGAGCCTGGGAATGTCACTCTGATTATTTACAACCACTGGCCTTTCTTTTATGTAGGAATTGAGTTGTGTGTGTCCTGACTTTGGTGACATCTACATGGTCTAAATTTTGCCGTTAGGCTTTGCTGTCAGGACCCAGGTTGCTAAATGAAGCAATTAAGTTTTAAGAGTTTGAAGATTAGTATTTGAAAATATGACATTTAAATTTAAATTACGAAATGACTGCAATTTTAGTATGGAAAAAAAAAAAAAAAGCAGGCTAGAAAATTATTGTATTAAGCTCCATAATTTGATCTACTTTTAATGTTGAAACTGTATTTTCAATGATTTATGATAATACTTAATTTCACCGTTCAGTATTTTCCAAAAGGTTCTGTATAACCAAGGGGTCCATCATTTCCCTAGGAGGCTGAACAGACAGTTGGAGGAAATAACCGCTTGCAGGCAGCTCTATTGACATTTGGAGGAGTGTTCAAATTTATGAAAAATGAATTATTCAGATATATCTCAACTTTTTTACTCTCCTCACTTGGGAAAATGCTTGGAAATCTTGCCCCAAGAGATGTCCCAACATAAAATGCAAACCATTTTTCTAATGGTTAAGTCATTCAACTAGAGTAAAATACAAAGACAGGTGCCAGTGCTGAGCAGCAGCATTAATTGCCTCTCAAAACAGAAGCCAGACTCCACATCTGCTCTTTCCTGGATGAGTACTTCCAACAGACAAGACCACAACAGCATCCCGTGTCCTGGCATGGTCCACCTGGTCACTACCCCCTGCACTGGTGATGATGTTGCCCCTCATTCCTTGAGTCCCATCCCAAAATGTCTTGTTTCTCCCACTCACAACACAAGGAATGCAGACACCGGCATCTTTAGGGTGTCACAATTCATAATAAATAAAAAATAAAAAGAATTCAAGTTTCTTTTTAAATGCTGCTCTGAATAAACATAGTCTCAAGAGCAACTTTGGGTTGCAGTAGACAAATTTATTTCCACTGTAGAAGCACACTTGTCTCCATAATAAAAAAATAAAATTTTTGCTGCAGGATAAAAGTAATCCTATAGTGGTATAAATATATCTACTTTCACAAGAATCCATGTTAAGTCACTCAACATGTATTCAGATTTAGTATTCTCACAGTTTCAAATGGAATCAAAAAAGGTAGTTGCTCACAAAAAAACCAAGTAAAATGTGGCTCAGTTGGGATTCACACATACATGAAATCACAGAAAGGCTTTTATTGAAACAAATAAATTACATATGAAACGATGGCATGTAGCACTAACTACTTCTGCTTACCTAACTAAAACACGCTGTATGGCAGAAGTCATAAAAACCTCCGCCTGGAGATCGGTGGCCCTGCCTATGGCTGGGGGTTGGAACTTGATGATCCCTGGGGTCCCTTCCGACACAAGCCATTCTATGATTCCGTGAACCTCACTGCTGGCCAGGAAGAATTAATATCAAGAGCATAATATCAAGCTCAGTTCTCGTTAGCCTGTGCTCAGCCTGTGCCTTCACTCCCAAGACTCCTGTCATCAGCTGAACTCTTTCGAGAAATAAACCATCCCTCAGGGTATGATCACAGATTGATCAGACAGCTGTCACTTCCTGCTACGAAGCTCCCATTCTACACTGACAGGTAACCAAGACATGAAACACTTCACATAACATCATTAATGACCCAATGCATTCAAAAGTCTTATGGTAGGTAGGTTGATGTGTAACTATCTGGTATGAACACTTCAAAAAAGGCAGAACACAACCTCCTGCACTTCCAACACTAGACACCACTGTAGGGTACTTCTTGAACTGTTATTGTACTCCTTTCAGCTGCGGAAGTGGAAAAAACAAAAAGGGGAAATAAAGTTTAGTGAAGCACATCATGACTGTATGTTACTATGTTCTAATTATACTTATTTACTGCATGGACTACCCTCAGCAGGAGGCCCTCACAGAAGTACTGACTTATTCTAATGCTCCCTAACTGCTAGTGCAGTATTAAAAAAAAAAAAGAAAAAAAAAAAGAAATACAGCACTTGGTTTTGATTCTTAGTAATGTGTCTTGGGAGAAGGACACTTATAACAAATACAACATAATACTGAAGACAGGAGAACATAACAACACTTAGTTCTGATACACTGAAAAGCAATTTATTATATAAGCATATTTACACAGGCACACTGACTTATTGAGCACCATTTTTTTTCTCTATTATTACAGTTCAACATCAACATTCAACTCTGAACAGAAGAACATTAGACCTTTACAACAGTTTCAGTATCAGAAAAAGAACTACCTATATTCTACACAACAAAGAACACTAGCATTAACACTCCAGTTGAGAAGTTCACTGCAAGAGACCCTCTCTCTGAATTCTGAGGCGTTCCTTCTCGACTTGCAAGCGCTCCTTCTCAATCTGCAGCTTTTCTGACTCAAATTTTAAGAACTGCAACCTTTCTTTCTCTAACTGCAAGCGTTCTTTTTCAAGTTTTAACTTCTCAGTTTCTAGATCCAGAGGCTGTATGATGGGTTTTTCGGACTGGGTGAGGTCATTTTCCAGGGCAGGTTTCTCAGCACGCAGAGTCTCTAGCCTCAGTTTCTCCCGCTCGATTTGAAGTCGCTCCTTCTCCAGCTGAAGTCTCTCATGCTCCAAGTCAATGTGCCGCAGCCGTTCTTTTTCAATTTGGAGGCGCTCCTTCTCCACTTGCAACCGTTCAGCTTCAATATCTAATCGCTGCTTCTCCAGCTCCACCTTCTGCTTCTCTAGATTTATAAGCAAGTGTGAATCTTCATAGGCTAATCTAGCTTGAGCAGAACTTAGATTCCCAAACTCCTCAATGTGGGTGAAATCTGGTAAGTCATTTTCTTTTTTTGAATCTGGCAACACTGATGAAAAAATCTCTTCTTCCTCAATAGGAAACTGCAGAGAGGAATGTAACACAAGAATTACACCCCATTCTCTCTGTTAGAATAGCGTTATATACAACTTTACTAAAAGTAACAGATGACTGCTTTTTCTCCTGCATCTTAAAAAGAATTCCAGAAATTACATTCTACAAAATAAACATGCTAGATTAAAAAACTTTGTTTGTTATTACATAGCTTGAGAGACACTTGATCTATAAGCTAATATTTGTAATGAAAAATCTGTTTATCTATAGACATGCAAGAGTAGCACAAAAAACACTGCATGATAGATATTACAGAGCAGTCAGAATCACCAACAGAAAACTACACCTAAAAGCCATGTGGTGGCCTTACTTTTCACAAAGCTCAATGACATTTATGTAAACCACTAGCAATCTGTTGTGATTAATTATCTACCAGAGCAGTTGGATCCACAGGCTATGTGGTATTAAAGCTAACCCAGCCTTCATTAACACGAGGATTCAATTTCTAAAAACATTTAACACCGCAGTATTTAAAACCATCTGGCATTTTTCACATGGTCCTAACCCTTCAATCTGTGTAAGTGGGACAATAAACAGGACTTGTTTAACCAATTTCATATTGCCATTCTTGCTAAAAAACCACTCATGAACGGATTATTAAGGGGTTAGCACCACTGTTCTTGGTGAACCCTGAAGGCTGTAATCCTGCAAGAGCTACGTGCTGTACACCATAATACAGAAGAGACTATTGTTTCCCATTACGAATACTGCAAATGGAAGGCAAACGGAGGAAGACATGGGTTCAGAAAACAATGTAAGGCAATGAGAGAAACTACCAATATTTCAGTTTTAGAGAAGACTGACACTTTTCTTCAGCAGCTGTGAGGCAGCAGCTCCCATTACCATTTTTAAGAGCTTATGCTGGTATTTTTTTCCCAGCATACATTCCAACTAAACATAGACACAATTTGAACACATATTAAAAAAAGAAAACAACAAAAAACATCAAACATTTGATTTCAGTCTCACTATCTCAGAACAGCTATGATGCTACTAAAAATAGCAACCTGCCCACAGTTTCACAGCCACAATTCTGACAGAGGAATGGCTGACTGATTTATTCAGATAATATTTTCATCTCCTGTGGTCTCATTTTAAGAAATGCAAAGAATATTCCATTTCTTTCTTTCTGTACCTCCAGGTAACACACACTTTCATTTGTTAAAGTGGTGCACCGCCCTTCTCCACTCATCCATTCTGATACCCTAAGTATTAAAACAGCCAATATCCTTAAGTAATGTATTTTCATTCTACTGGTTGAAATAATTCCTATCTCTGACATACAGAAATGGAAAACACATTCAAATACACACTTGCGTTGAGGGTTACCAACCTTACACACCGCTGCAAACAGCTAGATTTGAATGCCTTCTCTCTGAAGCACAATTGTTTCTACTACTTAATTCACACATTCAGACAAAGCAAAAACTGATGCTAATGAAGCACACTGAAAAGCCCTCGTGAGGTTGGAAAACAGCCATTATTGCATATAGGTAATGCACGCCAGTCACTTACTTCAAAATTCTGTGGATCCTCCTCTTCTTCTTCTACTTTGATTTCTGTTAAAGACCCACCTGCTTCTCTGAAGTCAGTAATGTTCTGCCATTCAAAACTAGATTCATTTGCAAACCCCATTTTGTCATCCATATCTTCATTGAGAGAGTCATCTAAGTCGGATGAAGGAAGGTGAAACCCTGCACCAACTGCCTTGATGTTTGCATTCAGACGCTTCCTCTTCATGAGCGCTCTCCAGTCAAGGTATCTCCTTTTCACTTCTGTACCTGTTCTTTGCTCACCTTCACCTACAGCATTCACACACTCTGCTATTTCCTCCCACGCTTTCCGTTTCATCTCATTAATTGTTGTGTTAAGTTGTTTTGAAAAGAGTACTTCTCTCCTTTTTCTGATTTCCTTAAGGAGAGTTTGCGTTTCCTGAACACTAAAATTACTTTTTCTTTTTCTTTTCAATTGTTTCATTTTTTCCAGCTTTAAGCTAATAATTTTAGCACAGCAGATTACAGAGACTATTTGACACTAAGCAGTTATTAACACAAAGTTTAAAAAACAATGAAAGCAGAGATCAGCTCTCGATAGATGTGTTTCGTCTTCACTTTGTAGTATTTTCCTATTTCCTCAGGGTTCCTAGGAGAAAAAGAGCAAACAAAATAAATCTCAAAGGTATACACTGTATATTTGTATTTAATGAGCTTGGCTCCAAAATCACCCATTAAGGAAGTGTACATTCTGAACATACCGCTCATCTGTTAGAAGAAAACAATTTTGTTACACTCTGAATTTAAAGTAGCTGTTGATGAGCTCCCATAAACTCGTATGAATTATAAATCTATTAATATATCTGTCATAAACTGTTAAGGTTGAGTTGATATTTCCATTACAAAAATATAGCTGTTTTCCTGTAGCTCTTACAGTTTTGCATGTTGGGCTACGCTTAAGGCTGGAGTTCGACATATACATCTTAGTCGGAATACTAAGGTACTTCAAAAAGAAGCTAAGATTGTTTACATTGTTACTTCAAAAACAACATGTCTAGGCAAATGAATTTGCTGAAACCTTTTTTAACTACTTCTATGCAAAGAAAAAAAAAGTAGATATAAGTAGGTACATATTAAAAGCTGACATCTTAGAGCCTCTTCTGACTAACTGCAATCACAAATAAGTAATCCTGCTGGAGCAATCCTGCTGTAGGATAGAAAATAACCTTTTGAACTAAGTGTTCAAACAAGTGTCACGATTTGACATGCTGCTCTAAGAAACGGGTCAAGGAATAAGCCATCACTTCCGCACGTTAAAGCCCTGCTCCACGGCCCTTGCACTGTAAAATGCTTCAATTAATGTCAGATTCAAAGCTCAGTGCTCTACCGCAGCTATGGCTGATCCTGTGCCTGATGCTAGAGGAAGCTGATCTTGGCCACAGTGCACAACTCTATAAAACATACACATCAGAACATTAAAAACTCCCCATTTGGGGACAAAGCACATAACAGTTTACAGTCTGCATCCCCTATGCACTGTTATGTTGTACATAAATAGCTTACTTACAAAATTTTCCAAGTTTTGCAAGCTGCATATTTCTATTTAAGATGTACGAAGCTTCCTGCCCTTCTGAAAATAAAATAAGAAAATAATGACTCATCTTGAGAACAGAGAATGATTGAAATATATACTAACACTTAGGGCTGTAATGTAGATGCGCTTCTTGCCATGTCCAGCATTAAAAACCAAAAACAGAAAAAACAACCCACCCCCAACTTTCTGCCATTTAAAAAAATCAGACTTACAACACAGCACTGTATCTCTGTATCTGCTAGAATTATATAAGTACTTTTTTTCAGAGACCTTTTACCTGATCTTTAAACTTCTCCTTTAACCTTCATTATTATATGTTTGCCATGAAAAGATATTTGGGCTTTCAAGGAAGCAGCACCACACTTACTTCTCTCTGGCAGTAAATCAATTTTTTTGGTACTTTGCTTTTCAAATCCTAACTGCACTGTTAATTCGTTTCTGCCTTTATAGCAATTTAATTTCTTGATCTATCTATTAAACTCAAATTCATCTTCAGTATTTACGTTAAAAACTTTCTAAAAGTCATTCACCAGGTAAATTCTCCAGAAGAGCTACTGATACACAGAAAGAACTCAGACTGCTTTTAGAAGTTCTACTGTTAATGAGACAGTTATTCTGAATTGATAAATAAAAAGCTGAATTCCTGGTGCCTGCTACTTCAGAAAATGTGTGTACATGCGTGTAAGCACAAAGAGTTACAGAATCACAGAATCCTCTGAGTTGGAAGGGACCTTTGAATGTCGTCTAGTCTGACCCCCTCAGCAAAGAACAGGAACATCCGCAAGTTGCCCAAGGCCTGATCCTGAGTTATGTAGGAGTCTAACACACAGCATAGACAGTTTTTCTGACTTACCACTACCAAGGCACCAAACCTTTGTTTGAAGTCAAAACTCACTTATTTTTACTGAAATTGGTAGAACTTCTTGAATTTAAGCAAGTACTTAAGTAGACATCCAAGTAGTTGGTTAGCTATTGGACAATGGGTCAGATTTCCCCAAGTACTCACAAACCAGATACATCAAATTCTTGGATGTATTAATAATTAGCTGTCTTTTAGGTTACCTAAATACCAGATTCAGGTTTTTAAATCAATTTTTCCTCCGTGCTATTTTTTAAATGCAATTCTACATGACCGTGGAAGACAGGCAGCTGAGCTTTCCTCTTAGCTGTAGGCCAGGTCACCCTGCAGGTCAGTCCCACTACTGCTCACCCAGGTGCTCTGCATCACTGCCCTGATCGCCCATCCACTCTTCCACAAGAACCAAATCTTGGGTTTGGATTTTAAGTTACAGGTCAAGCACTGCATTACTACACTGGGAACCCATGGCATAAAATGCCATTTTGCATAGCTTTCTTTTGTTTTTGTCCTATAGCATATATGATATAAGCCCCTGAGAGCAACGGTGAAGCCTACCTATTTTAAAACTCTTGGTTATTACTCTCTAATTGTAAAGCACACCTCACTATTTCTAACTCCTTGCCTTCTGAAAGCACACTGCCTCACTGAAGACGTTTCCTTTTTCATTAATACAAGTGGTGATAATGAATTATCTTAGCAGCATACAGATGAGCAGATTTGGACCTATTCCACAACAGAACCATTACCTTTCTGATATATTAAATAAAAAGCATTATTACCTAAATAAAGCTGAGTTTGGTAAAATTCTGGTTCTAATACTTTGATATTTCTGGATGGTGTCCAGGATATAACTTTTAATTAAGAAAAAATGAACTGCCACATGCTTAAACTATTTAACAGTCATGAATGATAACAGGCAAGGATTTGTACACATTCTAAATGGCTACAAAGAAAGAACAAAAACAACTTATCAGCAGTTTGAAAAGATGAATTTACAAGAACAAAACATAAAGCATGTTTAATTTCTAGTTTGCGATCTAAAACAAGAAAACACACATTCAGAAATAATTCCAGACAAACATTTCAGATTTTACCGAAATCAGAACCGTAAGACCTCAACATTTTTGTGTCGTTAGCAGAAGATTCTACAGCAAATAAATTCTAAGTGTACCAGTTGGGAATAAAAGTGGTTCACTCAGAAAAGGGATAAGCAGATTAGAGAAGAGATGACAAAAGCCTGGCTATGTGACAGAGAAATCCCTGAGAAGTGACAAATGATGCAAACAGGCTCTGATGTGACTAGCAGCTGTGCACACATTACTCAGAATGCAAATGCAAAACGTGCACCATTTGGGTACAAATGCAAAGTGCTGTCTAGAGAAAGAGAAGGGTTTTTCATCATGAGATAACAGAAAGCTTTCAAGGTGTGCATAGGAGAGCCAGCAACGTAACACTGAGTTTATTGATACAGTCCTGTCAGGCCAAAATCAAACTGAAGGTTAAGAAGGACCTCACCTCTGGTCTGGAAACTGGAAGTATTTGTTGTTGCTGAAATGAAACAGTATTATGAAACTAAATTGAACAATCCATAAACATACATAAGATTCATAACCTCAAAATACAGCAGAGGCATCTACACTCTGCCGCTGTGTTACCCTTCCTCGCATCTCACTGTGTGAACACATGCTAGAATGGTATGTTTAAAAACAAAAACAACAAAAACCAACACACAAGCAACACAGGCTGCCCAGGGAGGCCGTGGATGCCCCATACCTAGAGGTGTTAAAGCCAGGTTGGATGGGGCCCTGGGCAGCCTGGTCTAGTATTAAATGGGGAGGTTGGTGGCCCTGCATGTAGCAGGGGGGTTGGAGATTCATGATCCTTGAGGCCCCTTCCAACCTGGGCCATTCTGTGATCCTGTGAAAAAGTCATAACCAACACCAAAAAATCTCACAGAGTCCTATTAAATAATTTATAATATATATATACACACACATATATATCCAGATTTCTTTTTTGTTATTACGCCTTGCTGGTTGTCTTCATATTTGAAATTTCCAGAAAAAATAAATAATGAAAAGAAATAAGCATTAAATCAGGAGGCCCTGTAACCTAATTTTCTAACACCGAATTTGAGAATTGGGCACTCTTCACACAATACTAATCCATGGCTTTCTGGAAAACTTCAGGTGTGGTTCTGAACATATGGTTGTACTGGCATGGGTCAAATTTAAGTACTCAGAGATGGTTCAATCGGTACAACCATACACACAGAACAGTTCAGGTGGGAAATGACCCCAAGGCCCATCCAGTCCCAACCCCCCACCACGGGCTGGTTGCCCCCCAGCAGCTGAGGCTGCCCAGGGCCCATCCAACCTGGCACTGAGCACCTGCAGGGATGGGGCACCACAGCTCTGATCAGCTTCCCTTTCAGCGAAGAGCTTCTTCCTAACGCGCAACCCAAACCCCACCGCTCTCAGTTCAGAACCGGAGGAGGAAGAGAGGAAGGAGGCCGCACAGCCCCCAGCCTCGGCCCTCCTATCAGACACAGCCCGGCCCCGCCGGGAGCCCTCACAGGGAACAAAGACGACAGACAACCCCGCCGACGTCCCTCCCCACGCCGGGCTTCCAGGCAACCGACTCGGAGACCGAGGGACCCCGCACCCCTCACGGGAGGGCAGCGGGCTGCCGCCTCAACGCTACCCGTGATTGAGAGTGCAACCGTTCTGCGCCCACAAAGGGACCGAAGGCTGCGGACCGGGCGAGCGGCCCCCCGTAAGGCGCCGGGAACTATACTACCTCAGACCCACCGCGAACCGCGCCCGCCCCAGGAGCCGCACACATTACTCACCTACGCCCAACTCACCCCACCGGGTCGCCGGCCCTTTAACGACCGACACCTTCCTATTGGGCAAGCTGAGTGCCCATCAGTCCTTCCCGAACGACTATTGGCTGTTGAGGCCCGTCGCTTGTTCTCTCCTGTCCCACCCTCCTAGACGCGCCGTAATGCCCCGAATAAGCTTCTGAGCGCCGTAACTCCCCCGCGGGGACACCGCTCGCGCAGCCCCATACAGCATTGGCTGTGGCCGCTGCTTGTCTTACCGATGCCTTCCGATGATTGGCTAGCTTCTGCCAGAGCCCGCCTTCCGCTCTATGACTTTCCGGCGGCACGTTTCTTGCGCTCAGTGAGGCGTTGGGGCTGTGCGGTTGCGTTGTGGTGAGGATGGGTTCCTGCGGTGAGGCTCGTCCGTGGTGGGAGTAAATGTTTTGAAATTTGCTGCTTATGTAAGCCGCGATATTACTTCAGGATAGTGAGCACGTGAGTGAAACGCAGCGGAGCTGTGCTGTCGCGGCCCTTTTCTGTCTCCGCAGCCTCGCTGAGGTGCCCGCACCTTTCCCTGTGTGCGTCTCGTTGCCGTCTCAACGCGGTGCTTGCAGATGCATAATTAATATCTACACCTACACACGTTGCTGAAAAGCCTTGCATGTGTTCTGCACTCACACACACATACAGACACAGCTGGCTGCAGGTCACTGCACTCAC